CGTCCGCTCCCTCGGGCCACCCAGGCCGCCAGGACGTGTGCCACGGTGTGGAGCCGGCAGCCGGAGGTTGCCCCAACTCCAGCCTGGGAAGAGGCTCCTGTGTGGGGACCCGTTTGCCAACCTGATCATCTCCTGCTTCCTCCTGCGCTCCAGTTCCTCCTGCAGCTCGTTGGCCTTCTCCCTCTCCACCTCCATCATCTTGTCCAGGCGTTTCTCTTCCTCCTCCAGCTCTTTGGCGATGAGCCGTGTGGAGCCGGCAGCCGGAGGTTGCCCCAACTCCAGCCTGGGAAGAGGCTCCTGTGTGGGGACCCGTTTGCCAACCTGATCATCTCCTGCTTCCTCCTGCGCTCCAGTTCCTCCTGCAGCTCGTTGGCCTTCTCCCTCTCCACCTCCATCATCTTGTCCAGGCGTTTCTCTTCCTCCTCCAGCTCTTTGGCGATGAGCCGCTTCTCCAGGATCTGCGTGTCCCGGATCATGTGGCACTTGGCTCTGAGGATCATCTGTGGGGGCAACAGGGCTCCCTGGGCTGCCAGCCACGCTTGGCAGGGGCAGCAGGGACAGACACACAGACAGGGAGGGGGAAAGGGGAAGGGGAGGAACACCCTGGCTATCTAGTAGAGCAGGGTTTGGCTCTAGGGCATCTTGGTGAAGCTCACGGGGGGGCTCTCAGCAGCCTGGCTGAGCAGGCAGAAGGCCTCACGGTGCTGGTGGTGCCGGGCAGCCCCTGGCCCTACCTCGCTGAACTGCCTGATCTCATCCTCCTGCTCCATGCGCATCCTGTTCGCCCGCTGCAGCAGGTGCTGGGCTCGCTCCCGTGCCTCCTCCTCCAGCTCGCTCAGCCCCCCCGTCTGCTGCTGCAGGATCATCTTCTGCTTGGCCGCGCTCTTGCGCTCCCTCAGCGCCTCCTGAGGGGACAGGCAGGGCTGCTGGGCACCCTCCCGGGGCTCAGCACGGAGCTGAGGGGCACGTCAGGCTCCCCCAGCCCTGGCACAGCCCCTTCCCTTGGCGGGGTGGCAGAAATGCAGCTCAGAGGCTTCACCACAGCCTCCAGAGAGCAGCCAGAGGTGGGACGGCTGGGTGCAGCCAGCGTGGGGTGGCTGGATACAACCAGTATGGGATGGCTGGATGAAGCCAGTGTGGGATTCCATCCCCACCCACGGACTGGGCAAACCCAGTGACCCTGCAAAGCCCATCCTGGGATCAGGGGAGACCCAGGACCCGCAGTCGTGCCGTCCCAGCAGCGATGGGCGCCCCAAAACGTGGGTGACAGAGAGGTGAAGGTGGCGGCCCCCGAGCAGAGCTGGTGCCTCTGCCCCACAGGGTTGGCTCTAGCT